CAAACAAGTCTCAGGCCTCTGCAAATCAATTTATATACCTGAAGCTGTAATGGTAGGGGAAACAAATAGATAAAACTGAAGCATTTATGTCAAATATCTGTGATGATTCCACATTTACTGTATTTGAGAGGAAAGTGGCATCTCGGAAGTGATGCTGCCAAGTCTGACCACAACCTTATAGTGGAAAATTGTGTAGCAGTCTGGGCCTTACAGAGGACTTGGAATTGGTTGATACTCCACTGTTGCCTCTTAAGCTATGAAGTTCTTAACCTGACACAAACTACATACATGCCTCCACTAGCTGCTCCTGCTAGCTCCCTAAAGTACGACAGGCTCAGAATAGAGTAGAGCAGTAGAGCAGAGGACCCTGCTTTTCTCCAGCTGACATGGAGTTTCTGTGTGGGTCACAGTTGACTATGGCTCTCATTGGCATCCCAAAGCAGCTTTTTTACAGCATCTGACAGAAAATTCAGCACTTCCCTAAGGAAGCCCTGCAGCAGTTTCAGGGGGGTCAGTTTGGACTGTTGGCAAAGCCCTTCAGAGATTTTCTAACCTCCAACGACAGGGAGCAGCTGATGTTGTAAATGTGCTTCCCTGTAGTACAGAAAAGCTTTTAGAATAACTATATTAGTCTTGAACCTCCACACAGAACACAAGTTCATCTCAGGCCTACAGAGATTACATCGTCCAATTAAAGTTATGAAAATTATAATTTGTCACATCCTCGAGCCGTAAAGATTCTCCTCTGTAGTTGTCCAGGTTGCTCACGCCCTGTCTGTCTTCCCAGATGAACAACAACTTCTCCAGTGACGTCCAAATCGTTGAGAAATTCAGATTTCTTCTTCTGGACATCTGCCTGAAAGCCATTAAGGAAGGCTAGTACTACCATCACTCTGTGAGATTGCAACAAACTGACTAAACCAAGCATAAACTATGGTGGCCACGAAACTCACCAAAAAAAAGTGTCTGGTTTGTCTGTTCAGGGCTACTGTAGAAACATCACGGTTCAACATGGTGTAGTCCGTAGACGAGGAGCCGCTCCCTCTCTAGATAAAAACAGCTCATTCTATGGTAACGAAAACACAACGATTTATATTTTCAGGTGATTACACACAAATGAAAACATACCTATATATGTAAAATGTTGCATACTGGACCTTCAATCCATTACGTCTCGTCTTATGTTTAAAACTTTTGAATACACTGGAAAGACTACAACTGATAACCAGCTGGCTGCTGATGTGCGTGCACACCTGCATGAGAGAAAAAAACAGTAACTAACCCTAAGCACCAGGGGCAAGGATAGATTTTTATCATTCTATCCTTTGATTTTACAAATATATTAAAATGTTGTCAACAAACCAGGCCAAAAAGGTCAGTGGTCTGTTCTTGTTTGTCAAAGAACCTTGCAGAGAGACTAACAAAGGAAACCAGCGAGACATGTTCACGTCTTTCCCTGTGACTCTGACTAACATCTTATCATTTGCTCAGAATACAAACTGAGAGTATGCCTTTGCTTTGATGTGGACAGTCTTGTCAGTCTTGTGGATGCAGAGGAGAAAAAAAGCAGAAACAGCAGTTGAATGGAGAAAATTACAAATGTGTGAGGCTGCATAACTGCTAAGGGTTTCTCACACAGATTCAACAAAATCAGTTGGCCGAGCAGCTGCTGATTTGGGACAACTAAAGCAAACGGTTCCAAACACACCATAAAAAACTACAGGCAATGGTCGACTAATAGCAGTAGGTAGGAGGTTTGTCTAGTGTGTATATCCGCAGGGAGTGACGAGTTAAGGGCCTTGACATGAAACATCAACTCTGTAGATTCACTGTGTTCACATAATAAATACAATCCATGTGAGTTGTCTGACTGAAATATGTTTACTGTTGATCATTTATCTATCCTGCTGTGCAGCTTTGACTGTGAAGACTCTGACCAGATGTAAAGTTGAGATTACTGTATACTGCAGTAAAGCAACTGTCTCCTTGTTGTGTGTTCTGGTGGTTTATTACAGTAAATGTAGTTTTTCAACAATTGTCAAACATCAAAGTTGTAGATCACAAAGTTGATCAGCAAGCATGGAGCATTTACAACATCTTCATTTGAGCTAATTGTTGTTATGGGAATGCATCTGTTGTGCAGATGTGAGACGGTGCATTTCTGTTCATTTCCCTTGTGCCCACAATGTACATAATGACATAATAAACCCTACCAGGCAAATAAATGAACAACACCTCCACAGAAGATATTTAACCTCTAGAAGATACCTTGCCTCAAGCCAATCAAGTTAGTGAGTTATACAGCAAGGTTACACATCCGCCCCCTTACAGGAAATCACAAATTATCTCAATACTCCCTCTCACTGATAATTTACGGCCCCAGGCAGTGCACAATGAAATGAAAAGAAAAACGGGACGGAAATTAAATGCGTCTGAAAAGAGTGAATGGCACACATCAGCAGCAGCGTGGATAGTGCAGACTGCTTGCTAAAGACAAAACTTTTTAGCAGAGAAGAGATATTGAGTGAATATGAGACTTAGGTGGTCTAATAGTTTACCTGCTGTGATAATTAAATTCTCTCCATACTCTGTGGTTTAGTGATGAAGGAACTATATGGCAGCTGCATCATGAGTTCATTAGGACCAGTGACAGCCTAACAGCCATCTGAAATGGCCGAAGACTCTGGGGACTCGGGCATGACAGCTTCCTCTTAGATATAACTCAACATATCTGACTACTTTGGCACTTAATAAAGGTTTACAGCACCAATTCCCATATCTCTTTTAATGAGCTATGATCAAAATGACAAATGTGCTTGATCTTTCCTCTTTTCATAATCATGCTTCATCCTATGAAGTCTTTTATTTGGTTATCAATGTTTTATAATCAATCAAGGACATAAAAATGAATGGATATGATTGTCATTATCCAATAAAGGCACAGTAGCACGTACTGTATATCATTCCTGCAGACACTCTGAGTCAAGATAATCTACCAAGATCATGCACTCGCAAACTACAGCCAGCCCAGGCTAGACATACACTGCATACTAAGAGGTCTGTCTCTTGGGGAAAGACAAATGCTGTTGCCATTCTCCACTTCCTGCCGAATTAATCTGAGACTGAACACATTTTTCTTTTGTATTTCCAATGTTGTTTGACTGCTCTCATGTGGGATATGTTACACAGTGAGAGAGAAAACCAGAAGAGAAAACCAGTTTAGACTTGATAATTTTAGCAATTTAAAGACACTTTTTGAACAAGTACTGACTGTTAACGCAATTAATTGTTTAATTGTTTCATTCTGATTAAAGAAAAAACAAGATTAGTCTGGTAGAGTCTGCGGCCATGCTAGCAGCTCTGCGAGGCTGTACAATTCATCCAATATTTGTTGTGATATTTCAGTCTGGACCAAAGTGTTGAGCTGACTGAATGACTGACATTGCCATCGCTAGAGCCGTTCTGGTACCTTGGTTAGGAAAGGTAACATCTGCAGATAAAAATCTAGTAGCCTGAAGCGTTTAATTGCCCCAAATGCGTTTTTCCACACTAGACCTTCAACTCTGGAATGTGTATTCAGAAAGGTCTGGTAAACTAATTCTCTGGAGTTGTGTCTCAGACTGGCCACTCAAACATTCACTCGCAATGGTCGCATCAGTCAACATCTACCATTCTTGGTGGGTGCAACAAAACAAAAATTGTACAGCAATGGAATATTGCTACGATGTGAAAAACAAGAGGATACATCTCCACTGTTTTGATGTTGCTACCATAACTACTAGTATTGCTGCATCAATATTAACAGTTCTCTTTTTTTTTCCTTTACAAATCAATACAATTAACCTACAGTCTGATGCAAGCAGCAACCTTGACACATGAAGCCAACATGGAATTAACAAAAACTGAAGTTCCTCAAATGGCCACTTGAGGCTGGCTACAGAAGTGAGTTTCCATAAGGCCCCATATTAAAATGCTCGACTTTAAAGCAGAAATAAATATAAGTAACTCATTTAAATTATATTAAGGTCTAAAGTTATGCATAATTAACAGCATGGCTGCTTTTAGTGACAGGTGCGTGCCATCACAGGTGGTTGATTTTAGCCGGCCTCAACTCCACCCACGCGTCTTTAAGCATTTTTGGAGCCGGCGCAGTCAGGACTTCCATAATGGCAACGGCCAGAGCCGACCAAATTCAGTATCACAACGGCTCTTCACAAACCTGACATCATGGACACTACGTCCTTCTTTTTTATTATACAGTCTGAACACTCAACCCTCTATAGAATGTTTTTAATATATGAAAACATCCTAGCTCTCACCATCAGCACATTACAAACAAATGCTGGATCCCACCAACCTTGAGACGTAGGCGTATGGTGTTGCAGTCCCTCAGTGGATTCAGTTTCAGCGTCTCTCCCAGGTTGTTGCAGCTTGAACTCTGCTGCTGTAGCTCGCAGCACACACACACTCCATCGCTGTCAAACTTGAGCTGGGGGGGAGGAGGGGGGAACACACATCCACACTCATGCATGCACGCCATATACACAGACACACAAACACACACAGACACACACACACAGACACACGCACAGATCAGACCTGAGCTTGGGGTACTGATGTATTATCCTTAAATTTAATACGGTGGAAGATACACTGACTACGGACAAGAAGATTAATTAAATATAATACTATATCGTGATTGAGAAAGGCAGCTGCACATGGATGATCAAAGGTGTACAACAAAAGAAGAGAGGCTGTGAGATATAAGGAGCTACCAAGGGAAGGATCGCGGTAGAGCATACCTCTGCTATGTGTCCCAGATTGAGAGAAAGCAGGACATGAACCCAACAAGTGTGGGTTAATTACATTGGGGAGAGGAGATGAGGAACGTTAACGTTTCAGTCATGACTGGGGGAGGTTCTCTGGGGAGCCACATAAAGCAGTGAAGTTGGTCTACTTTGTTTGGTCCCACTTGCGTAGGGAGAAAAGCTGCTTCCAATGTAGAAGTGGTCGGGTTAGTGGGTTGGGTGCTGGATAATTCACAAGGGGCTTCTTCAGTCACAAAAAAGATTATATAGCCATGGGTTCCTTGGCTATATAAATTCAGCTTAAAAAATCAGCTTAGTGTCTCATTATAAAAATGTGAAGACTGAGTGTTCTGTGTCCAACTACCTCTGATCACCAGCTGCAAGGAGGAAAAGCTTAATACGCTTATTTTGAAGGGTGCTGGGTTCTCTTGTTTTCCATGATGTCAACACCGCCAGAGTGCAGAGATCATATGTCTGGTGGAAACTACTTGTGAAAAAAAACCCTATTTGAGTTCCAATTAAAGGGTAATTCTACAAAATGTACACAGGTGAGTTCTACTTATCTTGTGAAAACACTTGTATGATGTCTTTTGTGGTTCTGGGGGAGCTCTATTACATCTGAGAAAACAACCCTAGTGATGTCATCAGGGGTTATCTTAGTTTTGGCTTGGGGTTATGGAGTTTGAAATACAATCGAAGAAAAGAATGGTTTCATTTTGGGATGTGAAGGCCCCAGAGTTTTTGGATAATATAGGAACTAACTCACCATTTATACTCAAAACTCAAAAAACTTGCCAGAGAGGGGAAATATAACATTGATTAAATATGGAGATGATGGTGTACACTTGAAAGCACTTTCACTCTCGAAGGCATTCCTGACTCAATGAAAGTGATTGAAATAGCTGTGTAAAGTTTACTTTCTCATAGAGTTGTAGACTCGAGTCTCATACTTGATCCCCTAGCACTAGAGATTAAAAAGTATTCCATGTTTTCATGTTCACTGCAGTACCCCCCTTAGTTTTTCCATTCCACAGGCTCTGTTTAAGCCAAAGTACAGCAATGATCTGTTTAAACAGAAGAGACTGTTACCTCCCCATCTTGTACTTTGATGCTCAGCCAAAACAAGTAACACGTAATGTATTTTTTGAACACTGAAGCATGTAAAACATTTTCTAGTAAACCCCCCCATATGAAAGTATGAACTTGAAAAAGAGTATAATATGGGCTCTTTAATACAATATTACTCTGTTGTTAAATGGCCTTTTGTGAACAGTGCATTATGACTTGTATATAACTTGAAACTCCAAGTAGAGGACTTTGGACTTGCCTTGGGACTTAACTTGGGACTTTAGTGTTAAGTCTTATTTGGGACTTACAAAACAATGACTTGGTCTTATCTCTGCTTCTCTCACCTGGCCAATCACATGAAGTTTCCATGAATGTCAGATTAACGATTATGGAAAGTTACAGAAATGGTCGAATGCAGCCCTTTGTCTTTGGAAAGCTGTTGGGTAGACGGCTTCTGAAGCTGTTTGCCCATTAAACAACCACTCCTACTGGCCCCTTTAATGTATCTTTAAAAGTAAAAGCTGTGTAAGTTAAAGTAAGAATATCTCTCTTTGGATTCTCCCAACCCTATAGATAGGAGCTAAAGTACTCTTTCAAAGTTGTTTATCTGTATTTTAGCCGTCTTTGATTCTGGCAAAGATGGATGTGATAATCACGAGCCATTAGTCACTAACAGACAAATAGCTGAGTTTACTTTTGATGTTGACTCAGTTCTACAGCCTGCTTAGAACAGAAGTGCTGCATTTCAGCCTGCCATGTGCCTACGTTCATGAATTCAAATGTGGACTCATGCAGACAACAATGGACACATGCCTATTACTCACTGACTTCATAGTTGCTGGTCTAACAGATGGATACCAACAACAACAACAAAATTCAACACAAGTCTTGCACTTCAACATGACTTCTTACAGCTTCTGAAGTGGTCCAACTAATAAACCATAAACCCTTTTAACCAATGATTATTTTCTACTTTGTTAAGGACATGTGTTAGCGATGATGTGTATGCATGCCATATGCTGTGTGTTAGGCTATCAATTGGCATGCGAGTGGTACTATACATGTTTTAAAATGAAGAAAAAAAAACGCAACTGTATGTCCATAAGTTTTAAAGCAAATATAAACATAAAATATTTTCATTTAGAAAACAAAAATGTTTCATTACATTTTGGCAAATTGGAGACACAGATATCACTGGAAAGAGTTGTCCTAATTCTATCAATATGTGTCCGATGTTATCACTGAGAAGAAGGGGTGTGATCTGTGACACATATTGCATCAATCAGGTTCAGACATTTAAATCAAGAAAGTGTATATAGAGGCCAACTTCACTGCATAATTTCTTCCACTGTCAGAGAGATAAAAAGAAAAAGTTTTCAGCCCTCAAAAACTGACAGCCAGATTAAATGACTTGTTAAGATGGACATTCTTTCGTCCATTTTAACAAGTCGAGTGTGGGGTATAAAGCTGAAGAGTGCATGGGTTGAGGTCCAGTTGGTCTCACCAGCTGACAGTCTTCCAGGGAGTTGACCAGCTGAGCGTTCTGGCAGGAGAGGATGGAGCCCGCCAGGTTGAGCATCACGCACACTGCTGACAGCAGCATGAAGAATGTGATCTGTGACAGAGATGGAGAAAAAGGACAATGTTATGTCAAAATGTTGCAGCCTACTAACACTGAGTCACCGCTTACATATTTCACATATTGTGTTTGAAAGCAGCTTTAATACCAAATGCACAATGCACTTTGCTAATTAATCGACACTCAAAGTGATTTCAACAGATCAACAAAGAGGAAATTAGCACTGATGCCAAGAGAAATCAATAACCTGTTTCAGACCTCCAGAGTCTGAAGGCGAGAGATCATAATTACAGAAAAGCTTTTCACGCAATGACACAAGAAACTACCTACTAACAGGCTAAATTCTTAACCCATAGTGCTATCTTTCCTTCCTTGACATATGAACAGTTTTGTAATGGCTAATGTCTTTCAGTCAGTATAAAACATTAGACACACATGTACATGTCTATGCTTCGAGCTGATAGAGCTCGCAGTTTAGGTTTTAATGTGCTTTCACTCCAAATGTCCCCTTTGCACCCCTTTCCTCTGGGGAAAAGGCTTATTTTTATTTCCTAGCTGACAGCCCTGTGGATATCAATCCCGTTAGCAGAAATATGGCTACCATTTCTGCCACTTTAAATTACAGGTCATGCGTAATGGAAAGACTTTTAAAATAATTTAAAACCGACCACTAGCCCTCTCTGTCCAGGAAATTGCAAAGGCACAATGTTCTCTGAACTGACTCAACAACTCTTGGCTTTGTGGGAACATGAAGAGTTTCACAAGCTCATAATTGACCCATTTAATTAAAAACCACAATGATAGCCTATTTTCAAAGTTTGCATCTACAAAGTGTAAAAAAGTGTAGAAAAAAACCACAGGGTAGTGTTGGTGGAGGACATAAAGGGCACTAGCAGGAGGAGTTTGATGTATATAAAGGTTGCTGAAAACACACACAGATGGAGAGGAGGAGAGAGAGAAAAGGGGGTGGAGAAGGAAGTGGAGGTGGCATGTAATAAACAGATGGAGCGATAAGTTTAAGTGCTTTTCACCATGGCAGAAAATTGAAAGATTGAGAGGTTGAGGGTGAGCTTGAGGTGCAAGAAAATGTGAATAAGGGAAAAGAGTCAGGGAAAAATGCAGATGACAAAAAAGAGAATGATCCAGTCATAAATAGACAGTGACAGAGAAGAAGAGAAGACAGACAGCGAGATATAGAGAACAAGACTCTGTAGTCCCATGGTGCATTGGCCGTGAGGATGTGTAGATCTGGTTAATTAGCATTTCATTTGAATGTGATATCAGCTGTCTGGTTCTCTGGTTGATCAGCTGCATGAGAATGTAATCAAGCCCTCAGGAAGAGAACTCAGCTGTGGATTTATATAGAGGCCACAGTCAAAACTGCAGGTCACATGAAGCAATTTGGCCAGGAGAGATTTTTAGGTATATACAACATTATAAAATAAATCCCTAAAACAAGTGAACGTATTGAACATATTGAAGTTTATGAGTGACCAAGGTCTCTATCAACATTTGTGCCTTCATTGTTTCTGGGCAGTTGGCTGGCTCAGTTAACAATAATGTACTATAAGCCCAAAAATGCCTGAAGAAGTTTCTTGGCGTATGTACCCACTGACTAACGATGGACTAATGATGACATCTAGAAACAGAACAGACACATCCAGAAATAGATTTATCTGGCATGATTTTACATAAAATTCACCCGTTTTTTTATACTGAGTCACAGAATGGGACAGCATTCACCCAAATCAAACTTCATCAAACTAAGAGAAAAATGTAAACAACCAGCAAAGAACAGTATGGAAGCTTCATCCTGCCAAAAAAATCGTGTTTCACCAACAATCAGATCCTTTGTTTCTACTTTGGTGTAAATCACGACTTTGGGGGAGGCAGTAGCTCAGTGTGGAGGGACTTGGCTTGGGAACCGGAGGGTCGCCGATTCAAGTCCCCACAGACACAAAATATGGAGTGTGGACTGGTAAGACACAGGCCAGTTTTACCTCCGGTGCAACTGCCGAGGTGCCCTTGAGCAAGGCAAACACAAACCGCCAAGCCTCTCATGTTGCACTGTTAACAGAACCAACACAACACCTCCTCTACCTGTTTGCAAATGTCCACCCAAGTGCATGAAGAATTATTCAGCCTGTGTGTGGTGTGTGTGTGTGTGTAAAAAAACGAGTGAAAACAACTATTTCCCCTCGGGGATTAATAAAGTATATCAATAATCAATAATAATAATAAATCAATAATGAACATCAAAGTATTGAGAAACGGTTTACTGTCATAAAATTATTTCTTGATATATTTTTTCATATATATTTTGGGGTGGGGTTGGGGAGCTTTTATTGCCTTAATTGATAGTGAAAGCTAAAGAGTGACAGGAAAGGGGGTAGAGAGAGAGAGATGGGATGACACGCAGCAAAGGGCCAGAGTCGAATCAATGGCCGCTGCAGCAAAGACTTAGCCTTCATACATGGGGCGCCAGGTCTAACAGGCGAGCTACCTAGGGACCCATTATTTCTTGATATTGACTGACAACTTTGTGGGCCATTACAATCTAACGCTGTGCAGTCAGTGTGAAATAGAATTATTTTTCCAACGTTAAAGCTACTTAATCACTGACATTAAAGATATTTCTGAGTATATACATGCATAAATGCAAAGCGTACAGCTTTAGCTTAATTATAAAACACAAGACCAAATGCTGACTGATGGCAAAAAGGATTTAGTTATAAATGCACAGTATTTTGTCAACATTACTGAATCACTTGTGTCATGTTCTGTCAAGAGAATTTAATTTGCAAATAAAAACGGGATGATTAGTTTTGGAAGTGTAGTATATGTGTTCAGGACTGAAGTTTCTCACACAGAGTGACGAGACCTGCCGGTTACTCTGGAAATAAACTTAACTGGACCTATTTAAATTAACTGACGGTGTTTCTCTTTAGAGTGTTGAGATTTGTGAAAAGCAGAATGTATGAAATATCACAAATGAAAAGGATTTCTTCACACTTTAATATTCTCCTGCCAACTTGGATTTATTTCTTTTTATGCAAGATGAAACAAGGAATTCTGAGTGCTCTTCAGTGTGAAAATGAGTTTGGCTTTGCTATTGAATACTACAACCACTGGTATAACCAGAGACACAGACTTTTGTCATAACATACAGACATATGTACGTACTCGTTTAGTATTGATTACCACGTGTGACAGTAATGGTTAACATTTTTAGAGTGCTGTTCTTCAGAAGTGAACAGGGTTGTCATTAGTTCTTTTGGGAGTGCAGGGGCGTTTAACTTGAATGATGCCATGACAATAACTATCAAGACGAGGATATTGTAATGTATAAACAAATGACAGTAAAAGCTCCTTTCAAGACACACAGGCTATAAGTTGTGCTTTAATGAAACCTCTCTGGAGTGCCAACCGAGCCAGTCGGACACAATGTTATTCCAACTAGGGAGAAAACGATCTCTTTTCATCAAAGCTGCTGCTCGAGTGCACTGCCATAATATCGCGCCGCCTTAAAAGGATAATGTTTTTCTCGCGTGCATTTGCATAAGTTTTATATAAATCTGTGTCAGATCTTCCATTTACCCTTCATTGTAAACTATAGCTACAATAAAAGGAAACAACTAAGATGATGCTACCACTACCCTGCTGATTCAGACAGACACTCTGACTTAATTGTGTTTTTATAGAATAATGAAAAAGTCCCACAATAAATCCTATTATATTAACAGTCCTCTCCAGACCTGTGTGAAGCTGGGTGTAACCTGTGTGTCCCCCATGCTTTCCTCTCTGCTGAGTTGATTGTCACGCCTGGCCCCACACTGATGCCTTCTCATTACCATGTAGGATCACATAGCACCATTTAGCAGCTACTCATTAATTACTGCTGCGCTGCCCTCTGCATGTCAAAGAGGAAAACACACACACAAGAAGCTACACACAAGCCACTCTGTCGCTGTAACAGCTGAGGCAGATTTACACTGCATGTCATCATCACATCGTTTAGCACACACTGCGGAAGACAATACAATCAACATTCATCTCCATGACACACACTCATAGATTACAATATAAGACCCAAGGTTCAGGTCTATCACTGTAATTCTCCATAACTGTCACTGAGGTGAAAATCATTTGGCTTTAACTTTGCTTCTTCCTATCCTTCATCCTGCCGCAGTGCTTCTTGAAACTGCAGAGAAAATGGATGATGTTTTGGATGGATCATATATGTAGTAAAAAAAATCTGACTGGTGAGAGTCTTGTCCTTGTGTGCACTGGAAAGGTGCTAGTAGGTAGGTTGTACCCTGTGGAGTTTTTGACCAGTTGTAGTGCTACATAGGGGGATGGGGAAATATTTTTACGAGTTGGTTCCCATTTTGCTTTGAACATTTGCATGCGAACAAGCACACAGTAGATGCTATGCACATTCCTGCCAATGGTAGTGAAGGAATCAGAATCAGAATCAGAATCAGAAATACTTTAATAATCCCCGTGGGGAAATTACTTAAGGAAGATAGATCAATCATTCTTTAAGGAGAAGAAGATTTGTTATTTGTTAGACCTCAAGGCTCCCCTTGTTTCTGGTCTTTGTGCTAAGGTAAGCTAACTGACTGCTTGCTGTAGGCTTACATTTGATGGACAGAAACTGTCTGCCATAATTGTCCAAAATCAACAAATTTGGAACATGCAAAACAATGTTAATTAAAAAAGTTAAACAAACTCTAAACATCAGCATTTATAACTCACCTTCAATAAATGTGTCTAAACAAAGACATCATAAGTCTCAGACAAATAAAGACGCTTGCATGCCCGTAATTCAAACACATCTTGTCTTTCTATTCTAAAGCTCTCCCCATCTGTCTGTGCTGCCACCAACAACAAAAAAAACTAGCTCATTCATCACCTCTGTTTATTTGAAGAAGCACAAATCCGAGATAAGATAAGCATCTCAGTGAGGAAACTGGACCAATGCAGCAGCACACAGTAATAGGCTTTCATTGTTTCATTGTTAAGCTAATAGGAAA